TAGTTCGAAATTCCAAGTGGGGGGAAATCAAAAAAATAAAACAATTTCGTATAGAATACACACATAAGGCATCTTTGTGCAAAATTTGGTGTCTCTATCTCTTATAGTCTCTGAGATCCAGGTGTTCATACGGACGGACAGATGGACAGACAGGCAGACAGGGCTAGATCGACTCGTCTTGTCACGCTGATCAAGAATATATATACTTTGTGGGGTCTGCCACGCCTCCTTCTGCCTGTTACGTTTTTCAGCTCCCGCAAACCTAATATACTTCTGTACATTTCATGTACAGAATATAAAAATCTTGTCCAATAAATTTCCATTACCCAGAATTGATGATATTCTCGATCAATTGGGTAGCGCTAAGTACTTCTCCTGTTTGGATCTGATGTCAGGATTTCATCAGATAGAGGGATCCAGAAACATAACGTCTTTTTCTACGAGCAATGGCTCCTATCGCTTCACGCGATTACCATATTGTTTAAAAATAGCACCAATTCAATTTCAAAGAATGATGACAATCGCATTTTCGGGTATAGAACCCTCTCAGGCATTCCTGTATATGGATGACCTGATTGTCATCGGGTGCTCAGAAAAACATATGATTAAGAATCTTATAAGCGTTTTTGATTTGTGTAGATAACACAACCTTAAATTACACCCAAAAAAGTGCTCATTCTCCAGGCACGAGGTAACCTTTTTGGGCCATAAGTGCACTGATAAGGGTATTTTGCCAGAACAGCAAGATACGATGTCATAGAAAGGTACCTAGTTCCAACGGACGCAGATAGCGCTAGGAGATTCGTTGCGTTCTGCAATTAGTACAGACGTTTTATAAAAAATTTCTACATAACAATATTATGTAGAAAGAATGTTAAGTTTGAATGGACAGAAGAGTGTCAAAAGGCATTCGATTATTTAAAAGTTCAGCTAATGAAGCCTAAGTTGTTGCAATATCCAGATTTTAACAAAGAATTTTGTATAACGACGGATGCAAGTAAGCAATCTTGTGGAGCTGTGCTGACTCAAAATTATAATGGGACACAGCTACCGGTAGCGTATGCATCACAAAAAGGGAAAGTAACAAAAACACAACGGAACAAGAAAAGGCAGCATTGAGCTATAAACCATTTTTGACTATATATTTATGGCAGACACTTCACAAGCTTGCTACGCTAGGAGCCATAGTGGCTACATGACCTTCCATGATCGTCATACTGCATCTACAAAAATTGACGATCCCTAAGCACACTACGGGTTTCCTAGATTGGCTCACGGACGGCACACATGATTCCCGAATTTAAAAACTTACGTCGATTTCATTATAAATTTATTCATATTAACAACAACAAAAAGAACTAGTTCTAGTATGAAAATAAACAACAAAAAATTCAGGGATGTGCGTGTATGTGTGCATTTGTGTGTCTGTGAATTACGGCAGTTACGATTTGCGGGGAGAGGGGGGTGAGAGGGAAATTCCAAAATATTCATTTTCTGCGTATTCACATAAGGCATCTAGGTGTTCCTAGGTCTTATGGTCTCCGAGATATTGGCGATAATAAGAATGGAATATCGGGAAAACGCCCATAGGGGGGAAGTAAGGAAAATAAAAAAATAAAACAAACTTGCACAGCGTACAAACATATGGCATCTTTGTGCAAAATTTGGTGTCTCTAGCTCTTATAGTCTCTGAGATCCAGATGTTCATACGGACAGACGGACAGACAGACAGACATACAGGGGGGTCTGCCACGCCTCCTTCTGCCTGTAATATTTTTAGCTCCCGCAAACATAATATACTCTTGTAAATTTTATGTAGATGTATAATAATAATGGCAATAATAATTAATAATACTAGTAATAATGGATCAGAAAAAATGAACAAACTCGTCCTTTCTTGGGCTCAGGAGAATCTGTATACCAAGTTTGGTTATTCTAGCTCTTATACTTTATGAGATCCTTGGGTTCATACAGACAGACAGACGGACATCGACTCGGCTTGTCATGCTGATCAAGAATATATATACTTTGTGGGGTCTACCACGTATATATGTATGTGCGCATTGGGCCTGGTTATATGGCTATAACTTTCTTTCTGACCAACCTATCATAATGAATGGCACACGGATATATAATCGCTATCTGGATGTGTCTACCAAATTTTAGTTTAAAATTCTAAGAATTACGGGAGTTATAGAAAATCTCGAATAGGGGGGGGGGGGGGGGGAGGAGTGGGGGGTGCATCGGGGAAAATGAACAAACTCGTCCTTTCTCGGGCTTAGGAGAATCTAGATCCCAAATTTAGTTATTCTAGCTCTTATACTTTCTGAGATCCTTGCGTTCATACAGACAGACGGACAGACAGACGGACAGACAGACGAACAGACAGACGGACAGACAGACGGACATGTACACTCGCAGAAAACTAATATACCCTTGTACCCTTTGGGTACAGGGTATAAAAAACAAGTAGAGAAGCTAAAGTCGGGTATCCCGACTTTGAAATACTCTGTACATACATATGTGTAGAATAATTATGCGTGTATGTGTGTATTTGTGTGTGTCTGTGTATGTCTCGTGTGCCTGAACAAAGCAGTAACAACAACAATAGCTGCAGGCACCACTTGGTCTTATGTACATATATTGCTATAACTTCCTATTAAATCGGCATATCATGATGACATAAGATGACTTGGCATTTGGACTTATAATAACTAAATGGAGATATTTGCCAAGTTTGAGTTCGAAATTCCAAGAATTACGGGAGTTACGATTTGCATGGGAGAGGGGGGGAGAGAGGGAAATTCCAAAACACACATTTTCTGCGTATTCACATAAGGCATCTGGGACTAAAATCTGGTGTCTCTAGCTCTTATAGTCTCTGAGATCCAGGTGTTCATACGGACGGACAGACGGACAGACAGACAGACAGGGCTAGATCGACTCGTCTCGTCATGCTGATCAAGAATATATATACTTTGTGGGGTCTACCACGCCTCCTTCTGCTTGTTACATTTTCAACTTCCGCAAACCTAGTATACTTCTGTACATTTTATGTACAGAGTATAATAAATTGAACATTTCAACTTATAATAACTAAGTGGATGTATTTGCCAAGTTTGAGTTCAAAATTCCAAGAATTACGGTAGTTAGAGAAAATTGCGATTTGCGTGGGAGAGGGGGGGAGGGAGGGTAATTCCAAAATACACATTTTCTGCTTATTCACATAAGGCATCTTTGTGCAAAATGTGGTGTCTCTAGCTCTTATAATCTCTGAGATCCAGGTGTTCATACAGACGGACAGACTGACAGACTGACAGACGGACAGGGCTAGATCGACTCGTCTCGTCATGCTGATCAAGAATATACATACTGTGTGGGGTCTGCCACGCCTCCCTCTGCCTGTTACATTTTCAGCTCCCGCAAACATAATATAGTCTTGTACATTATGTACAGAGTATAAAACACCAAAATTGAGCTCGAATTTTCCTAAATCCATTCTTAGTGCTCAATTTCACTGTGAGAGGCATCTTGTATCCAAATTTCAGTTTCCTAGATCTTGCCCTTTGGGCTGTGCGTTGATTGCCAATCAGTCAGTCAGTCAGGACAAACTGTTTTATTTATATACATACATAGTATTTATTGTACTTTATGTCCTAGCACTCGAATCGTACCAAATTAATTTGCTATTTGGGAAATGAACTCTTTAGAAACTTTAGAGAGTGTCAGAAGATAAATACCATATAGTAAATAAACGTATAATTGTAAGCACAAATACTGAGTCAGCAAAGACGGGCAAGATCTGCTAGTATACATACATATATACATATTAGATGAAATTACAAAATTTTTAAAATACAGTTTAAAATAAGAGAGAACACTACAGTCGAGCAAGCCCGACAGTAAAATAGCATGTACTCTCCACAAAAAAGAAAAATTAAAAAAAAAAATTTTTTTTTTTAAATGAATGAATTCATTAAATTAAATTAGAATACATGTTTATGTTCAGTTTTAACAGCATACATTTACATCGCGTACCTATGCGTGTTTATATGCGTGTATGTATGCAGCACAAAGTTGAACCAAAGCAGCAACAACAACAACAGCTGCGGGCAGCGCTGCCGACAGAGCTGCTTGATGAAACTTGGCACACGGACACATAAGCACTATCTGGATGTAAATTCCAAATTCCAAGAATTACGGAAGTTATAAGGAAAAACACGAATTGAGGGGGAGTGGGGGGGTGTATCAAAATAAAAAAAACAAACTTGACCTGCCTATGGCTTAGAGGAACCTGGATGCCAAGTTTGGTTATCCTAGCTATTGTACTTGCTTAGATCGTTGCGCTCATACAGACAGACGGACGGACGGACAGACGGACATAGCTATATCGACTTGTCTTGTCATCCTGATCAATAATATATACACTTTGTGGGGTCTGCCACGCCTCCTTTTGTGTGTTACATACATGCGCACAAAACAAGTATAGCCTTTCACCCTTTGGGTAAAGGCTATAATAACTTTTAGAGCCATTCTGTGACCGTGTAACGACGCGTTGCGCAGCAACCAGCTGTGCGTTGTCACGATGCCTGAGTAGGCGAGTAGTTTTAAGAAGTAGTTTAAGTATTAAAAGAAATAAGTAGTTTGAAATTGGAATTGGAGAGAAGAGTTATTAGTTAGTTTTGAGAGGGAAAAAACGCGCAATGAAGCGCAACCTCCTGTTTTGTGTAATTTTGGGAATTAAACCACGTGGAGCAGATTCACTTGGCGTACCGCCCTCTTTTATTTGGTGGACACCTTGGCACTTTGGGGTGCCTAATTTATTTCAGCAAACTCTGGCCGGCGAGTATACCCGCGGCAGAGTAACAACCTTACAACCGACCGACGTTTTTCAGAACGAAAAACAAAATTGTCGAAGATTTTCCCTTTCTCGCTATTTCGATTACCGTTTACAGAAAATTAAAAACTTGTATTACATTTACTAAACATTTTATTTCCAGAAATGCGAGAGTTGGTTCCTCCAATTATAAACGAAAAGACTTTACTGGTGCTGGCTAGATCCGGGGATCCTCTGGCCATACCATGTGTTGCTTATGCCAACCCAAAGCCTGTTTACAAGTAAGTTCGCCTATAGTTTTTGCTCATATATACTTGTAAATACCCCATTTAGAAAATACATTTTAATATTATTTTTTTGAACCTATCTTTGTCCTCTGCGTAGCAGTGTTTCCCCTAGAAAAACTTGGTATCCAGGTTTCCATAAGCCCTACGTAGGCCAAGTTTGTTTTCTAAAATCTGATACACCCTCCATTTTTATACCCTGTACCCGTAGGGTAAAAAGGGTATATTAGGTTTGTGCAAAGTATGTAACATGCAGAAGGAAGCATCTCCCCATACAGTATATATATTCTGAATCAGCATGACGAGAGAAATTGATCTAGACATGTCCGTCCGTCCGTCTGCCCGTCTGTCTGGATGAATGCAAGGATCTCAGAAACTATAAAAGTTAGAATAACCAAAGTTGCTATTCAGATTCTCCTAGGTACGAGAAAGGACGAGTTTATTTTATTTCCACATTTCAAATGCGACCTAAACCAAACTTTGCACACATAGTTTATATATAATTATCTACTGTTGTTTATTAAATTTTATTCATTTCGGTCAATTCTTAGCGAAACAAATTCTCGCCAGTACAACCCACCAAACTGCAGCAACAAGTTCGCTCTTCTTCTTCCTCTTTTTGCTGCTGCTATGGGCGCATATAACTCAGTGACGGAAGCTTACCTGGGTACAGGGTATTACACTGTGGGGTTGCTCGGCTGTAACGTTATCCCTTGTTCATAACTCCGTTTGTGATTATCGGTTCGTATGCCAAGTTTCATTTTGACAGGCCAATTGTAAAGAAAGTTATAGCCATAAATGTAATCTCTGCCTAAGCATTTCGGGGTGGCTTACTATTTCCTCCTCTTTCACGTCTCCGCAGCTTCTACGGAAGACGTTGTGAAAAAGCCCTAGCTGCATGGGTGCCAACCAGCTAGTGCCTCGTGATGGTTCTTATTACAGCTGAGTATTGGCTTCCGCCCAGCTTGCAGACTTGTGAAGATCGCTTCATATTGTGAATGGGCCACCTTCAACGTGTGATTGTGTGGGAGTTGGTATCGTTGGTCCCCATTTGATGTGCGACAAATTCAAAGTGGTTCCGGACTGACAGCTTGCAGCTGGCTATCGGTATACAGACACTGTCCATGTCTGGAAAGAAAGAAACAGTGGTACCATGTCTTGCCAGCTCGACGGCTTTACAGTTTCCCTCAATATCCCTATAACCGTGGACACAAATGAGGTAAACTGAAAACTGTTCTGCACTCACAGCAATAGGATGGGAGCTGCTGGGAGTTGAAGGATTTGCGGACACGTCCGGCTTTTGGCGAGTTCCGGTGACATTATTTTTGAATGTTTCATGTTTTTGGTCCCATAATTAGCAGGAAAGGGGTGGATCACCCGTGGCATAGCCCGAGTACCACGGGAAGCCTTATTTAAACTGGAGGTCGACAGGTATAGAGAGTTCGCATTAGTATAGTCAGAGCACCTTCTCAGCCACACATCCATGGGAATAAGCTGTTCCGCCTGGAATTGGGGAACATTTTATAGAGTTTTCAGGTCTCGCACGACTACCATTAGTCAGCATCGCCTGGCTAAGACATGACCGTACCTAGGGCCTCCCAGCCGACCTCGCGAGGAGAGTATAATCGCACTACTAGCCACCTGACTTGGTGGTTACACGTAATCCCTTTGTGATACTTTGTGATATGTAAAATAAAAAAGTCATAATAATATGCATATAATATAAATATATATACATACATATATATATATATATATATATATATATATATATATATATATATATATATATATATATATATATATATATATATATATATATATATATATATATATATATATATATATATGTAAGCAGGCACGTTGCAGGCGAACAGGCGACACACCAAAAGCGACAAAGCTACAAAGCAGAGGGACAACAGACACAAGAGAAGAGCAAGTCGTTGGAAGCAGTCGAGAGAGAACAGTCGTTGCAGAGAGTCGTCGTGAATGGTCGTCAGTCGAAGAAGTTGTCAACGCCAACCGTCGTGAACATATTAATCATATTGAATTGAATTGAACTGAATTAATAGAACTATTGTTATAATTTGTATCATTATTTAAATATATTGTACTTAACATAACTTTACATACATATTACATAATATACATATATGCTGAGGAAGGGAAATGCAGGTATGTGAGACACGCAGATCTCTCTGCACTACGGAAGTTCTTTCGCATTACTTCAAAGTGGGTGTATTTAAGTCATGCGCTCTCATCGTTATACCTGCGTCCATACTGCCCAAGGTACCATACCATTCATTCTGCACATTTGTGCTAATTAAATTCTCAGGAAATGATTGAGCGTCAGGAGCCGAAGGTATGCTAACGGCATTCCCACTCCTTCCCTGTAAGAAAGGATGCTTGTGTTTGTTCCTTCCCATGCCAGCTTGTTTGCAATGCAGTTTCCCTCAATATTCCGGTGTCCTGGCACCTATATGAGGCTAGTACTGACTTGCTGGGACATCTTGTTGAGAGATCTGCGACAGTCAATGATGACTTTTGAGTTGTCCATATTGGATTCCAACGCTTTGCTGTCTGAAAATATACAAACCGGTCTGCCGCCTGCTTTGTCGGGGGATAGGCGCCTTGGGACCTTTTGTATCGCAGTCACCTCTGCCTGATAAACGCTGCAATGATCTGGGAGACGAAATGACAGCCTTATCCCCAGGACTGGAGAAAAAATGCCACCGCCGACTCTCTGATCCAGTTTTAAGTCATCTGTAAAGAAATTGATGGCGTTGTTATGACAGGGTGGGATGTTATCCCACTCTGTTCGAGCTGGGATCCTTTTCAAAAATAACTCTTGAACACGGAGTATACATGCATGTCCTCTAGCCGATTTTTTCCAAAAAGAGGTTTCCCTCAGCCTAATGGGTCATTCCGTACGTTACACTTATAATTTAGTCATATACTGACTCACCTCTTTTATTAATATCACTGCTGCCCCAGGATCGTGTAAATTTTGTTATTGTCACTGCTATTGCCGACTAAGGCTCTTAGCAGCTGCGAGGGGGGTTGTCTTCATGGTCGCGGGCCATATAGACAGAAGCCATTCATATGGTTGTCATAACTTCTCCATTATTGTCCCCTAGTCGTAGACTGAGCGATGATGACCTACATCGCTGAATTGGGGAATTAAAATGGATTAATGACATAATAAATAATAATAATAATAATAATAATAATAATAATAATAATAATAATAATAATAATAATAATAATAATAATAATAATAATAATAATAATAATAATAATAATAATAATAATAATAATAATAATAATAATAATAATAATAATAATAATAATAATAATAATAATAATAATAATAATAATAATAATAATATACAACAATAATAATAAATAATAAGCCGAACCTACTGTTCGCCTGCTTATATAGCTCAGCCGACCTCTCATCGTCACATGCTATGAGCTTGACACCTCCATGGTACCATCCGGCATCAGTGCACTCAGGTGGTTCGCTAGGGTTGCCCATCAGCCACTCCACTGCGACCGTAGCTATTGCTACTTGGATCGATCGCCACTGATGCCTTGGGATCCTGCCTTCTTCATTACTGTGGTCGATGACCCCAACGACCTTCTAGTCTTTGGCCACTTCCGCAAACGACTTGGACCAGGACTAATCCTGCGTCTTCGGTCTTTTGCCACTTGGAGATCTGACTTTCAGTTTATATGCGAAGCTGAGTAGCACTCGGATCGAACATCGAATGACCTCTTGAATTCTGTCGAAATCTTCTTTCGTCGCTTGCTCCGACGTGATTGGTACGTCGGCTTGACGACGAAGGATCGCTGTATCTAGCCTTCTCCGGATCTACTCTTGGCATCTTTGCTGCTCTCTTTCGCATTATCATCCCCTCGCACCAGCAGCCCAGGTGGATGATATGCTCAGCACGATCTTTGGGTTGGCGGTGGAGGTCTGAGCGAGGTGACTGGAATTGCTATTTTGGCTCTGCTTCGTCTTGGTAACATCGGAGTGTGGCTGAGACACGGCTCCTCTCATTGCGGAACTATCAGTTCCTTCAGGCCCTTGAGGAGGGACGGCCTCCAGTTTTTTGCCGTTATGTTGTATTTGTGTTGGCGTTGAAGTATTCATCATGTTTATTTTGTTCCCACGACTGGAGGAGATGGAGCTACCCGGGCCAGGCTAAGTAATCCGAGGGATCGCCAGGTACCCTGGATGAACTTGAGCAGCTGGGCTATTTAAGGCACGGGTCGCATGACGCCTTGATTCAGCCCTCATCCCGAAGCCATGGCCGGACAACGTAACTATTAAGAAGTTAGTTTGTGTGGTTTTTGTTGGTCTCTGATCTTAGCTAGACACCGTCAAACGACGTCAAATTAAATTATATATCAGTTAAGTTTTCGATGAATTCGTGTAGATTATAAGGAAGCAAACGGTTTTAATTTGTATAAGACTGCCATGAGATGTGAGGCAAAGTAAAGTCACCAAGAACTATAAGTTGATCATCATCATCTGTAGCAGAATAAACGAAATGCATTGTAGATAGGTGTTTCAATTAAGTTCTGTAAATGATAGTATTTCTGTTTGTTATTTTAGCTGTCATAAATTCGTTTCCATGAATACTGTTAAATGGGAACAGTTCAGATTTATTGCAGTTAAGAACTGCGATCAGATTTCCACCTCCAAGAGTTGGACGATCGCTTCCATATATGGTGAACCTGTTAACGAGAATTTCTTGATCGAAAACAGTATTAACAGTTAAATCAATGACGTTGGAATCAAAAGAATTACTATTAATGTAAAATTGATTTTGTTTACCAAAAAGACTTTGGATATTATAGTAGAATTGAAAGCTTAGTCTTGGATTTGTACTCATGCATAACGGTGTACTCCGGCCAAATTAAAGGATCTAGTGCTTTCAATAGTTGAGAGTATGGTAACCTGATTTTAAATGAGGAAATGTGTTGCTTAT